TTAGACCCACCAATACTTCTAACTTATACTTCTAAAAATATTTCTTCCAAACAACTAGTCCATTATACCTTGATAAGAGATACTTACTTATCGGGTTCACTAGTCTACCTAGCAGTAAACCATACTTAATTTCATACTTTTCTACCTTCCTTAATTATCAACATAAGAATTTCAAAAGTAACCCACAGTGCCTAGTAATTATTTTCTACAAATTCCTCTATTTCTTCCTCAAGTCACCCAAACACATAGGTAACACAAACATCATAAGGTTTGTTAGGATTAGGAAAACTACGACAAGCATGATATTCAACTTGCACTAAGCTTTTAGTAATGATTGTAGACCCCTAAAATTGCCCGGGTCGGAAATAAAGCTTGAAGACTCTCGAAGACTGAAGAAAGATCAGCCAGAAGGACTCCTGGAAGGCCCTAGGAGGGTTCTCTGTAGGTCTAGAGGTCTTAGAATAGCTCAAAATAAGAAAGTGGAGGGAATGAAGCCCAATACGGCCGTACTGAACTTAATACGGCCGTATTGAAGCTTCAATACGGCCGCAGTGAACTCAATACGGCGTATTGAAGTTTCTGAAACTTCAATACGGCCGTACTGAAGTCAATACGACCGTATTGACACTTCAATACGGTCGTACTGAAGTCAATACGACCGTATTGACACTTCAATACAACCGCAGCGAACTCAATACGGGCGTATTGAAATTTCTGAATTTCAATACGACCGTATTGAACTTCAATACGACCGTATTGAAGTTCAAAAATTTCAATACGGCCGTATTGCTCCTGTAGGCCGTATTGCGCCTATTCCCTATAAATATGACGTCAATTGGACGTCATTCCACACTTTTACACTCAGTTTTGACTCCCTCCTTGAGTATTCTGGGGTTTTTGAGCAGTGTTCTGCCCTAGAAATCTCTCTGGGAGTCGATCCGACGAAGTTCTGGAATTCCGAGCACTTAGCTTGGAGATTCGAACCTAGTCGAAGGGAAATCCTCCGGATTTCCATAGTCAAAAGTTTTTAGGAAGGAGCGAGCGAGCTTGTAGAGCGAGGGAACGCCAAAAAGCTTCCCAGTTTTACTCAATATATAAAAGCACGCTTCAAGAGGTTTCTTCTTAAATCCTTCCTTTTACTGCTTTCTGTGTGCATATTTAAACTGTCATCATGTAGATAGTTAATTTATAATCGCTTATAATAAATAGGGGTAATTTAGTAATTTTACGCTATTATTTTAGAAATAATCTGTCATAGGGAACCCGAAAGGGGCGCTGTGGGGTGCTAACACCTTCCCCACGCGTAACCGACTCCCTTACCCAACTCTGGTTGTAATGGCCAAAGTTGATTTATAAAATCAATTGCCTTATCCCTTTTTCCAATGTTTTGAGTAAAACATTGGTGGCGACTCCACGAACCCTCCTTTTATGAAAACCACTAATCCATGGAGGGTCCCGCTTGGGATTAACATGGATTGGTGAGCCTTTTAATAAAATTGCTCGTTTGACAAGGTCTCAGTTTGAGAATAAGTCATTCTAGCAATCCATATTTTTAAACAAATAAAAGAGTCCAACCATCCTTCGCGAATGCCGAAAGCCCGTTTCGGGCCGGTGGCGACAGATGGCGACTCCACTGGGGAAGCCTCGAGAGTCAGTCCCATTTAGTGACAGATTATTTTTAACAAATAATAGTTAAAATTACTTTATTACCCCTCACTTGTATGATAACATGTTTATCTATTTGGCTTTAAATAACTGTTGTATTTTTAAATTTCCGCAATTGTTTGAAATAAAAACTGCACACAAACCTTTGCACACAACAGTTCCCTCTATACCCGGGGGCATGAGTGGTAAGCCATAGGGAGTGGATGTTAGTACGGCCGGTTGTCGAATGGGTCTATAGGTGCCCGTAGACCGTTGTCGGAAAACATCACTCAAGGTGATAACCATGAACTCGAGTCCGACAGTGCGTTGGAGCTTTCCATCGACTTACGACGAGAGGAATTGGGTCCCTATAATGGGGGCACCTTGGGGGCCTTTGACCAAGTGAGAACAGTTAGATCCTCCTTGAATATGCACTTTTCTGCAGGAGACCCCTACCTCGTGATTCGCTCGTGACTGTTCGTGGATGAGTGAATTGTTTGTGCATTTTTATGTGACATTGTATGAGCATACATTTGCACCTTTTAAACATACAACATTCTTTTTTAAATAAAAAGAATAAATAGAAATAAAGATCTTCTAGTACATGGTGTTAACATCTACCTTCATTGCATTCATATAGGTAGTTTCCCTTTTCACCCAAAAAAAAAAAAAAAAGATACAAAATATTCAAAAGAAAAATATGTATTTACCCAAACCAAGCAATATCATGCATCATCTTAGGAAAATCCTAAAAACATGATAATGCTTAGTTCAATAAACACAATGCATGCATATTCAACATCATCATCTCATATCATGCATATAGATCATGGAGGGATCTAGGAGTCATTCATTTCATACATCTCTCCTAGTAATTCATTAATAAACATTAATAAAAAGAAAGAAATAATCGATGCGTATGTTCAAGATGGATCGCACGCCATTTGTTATTAAGTGTAAGCCAACAACCGCGCCAAGCGAGCGCACATCAACTCCGTTGTTGGTAATCAAGACGAATAAAGGGGAAGGTCCGACACCATTAAGGATCACAGTTCCAAGGCCTTTCCCCTACAAATCAAATAAGGCTGTGCCGTGGATATACGACATCCACTCTTCTGCCGACAGCGATATCTCCAACATCGCTGGACTTGGGGGCATGACTAGGAGTGGCAGGATCTACACTCCCGAAGATCTGCACGATAAAGCTCCCAAGAATAAAGGAAAAGAAAAGGAGAAAACCGAGGAAGATAGAGAATCCGAGGAGGAGACTGATGAGCTGTTAAAATTCATCAAACAAAGCGAGTACTCCATTGTGGATCAACTTCACAAGACACCAGCAAAGATCACTTTGTTGTCGTTGATCCTAAGCTCCGAACCGCATCGGCAAGCTCTGTCGAAAGTCTTGAACGAGGCATACGTGTCGCACACTATCTCCCAAGACAAGTTTGAGGGGATTGTTAGTCACATCACGGCTAATGATCACCTCACTTTCACCGATGAAGAAATCCCCGCTGAGGGACCGAATCACAACAAGCCCTTGCACATCTCTGTAAAGTGCAAGGAGTATCACATCGCTAAAGTCTTGGTAGATAATGGATCTTCCTTGAATGTGATGCCAAAAAGAACGCTCAAGCAATTGGCAATCAAGGGAGTCCAAATGCGCCCGAGCAACATGATCGTTCGAGCCTTCGATGGTTCTAAAAGAGAAGTGGTGGGAGAGATCAATCTTCCAATCCAAATTGGACCCACTATCTTTAATGTCGAATTCCAAGTGATGGACATTACTCCCGCATACAGCTGTCTCCTCGGCCGACCTTGGATTCATGATGCGAAAGCTGTACCCTCTACGCTCCACCAGAAAGTCAAGTTCATCGTGGGTGACAAACTGGTGACCGTGCAAGCTGAAGATGACATACTCATCAGTAAGCCATCCAACATACCTTATGTGGATGCAGCAGAGGAAGCTTTGGAAACCGCCTTCCAAGCATTGGAAATTGCCAATGTTGAAACGTTTCCCCGAGAAATGAAGAAGGTAGCCCATATGCTCACAAAGAACGGATACTTGCCAGGACAAGGATTAGGCAAGGACTCCCAAGGAATCCCGGAGCTACCCATTATCAAGGATAATCCGGGGAAACAAGGGTTAGGATACAACCCTAACAAAGATCAAAGAACGAAGAGGAATCAAGATCCTTCTCGACGTTCTTTAAGCCAGATCTTTAGGAAGGCTGGTTCACAAACGTCAAGGCCAGCTGTTGTCATCAAGTGTCTTTCTCCTTCCGATAGGGATGTATAGACTCGATGACTATTAGAGATCACTCCTCGGGGACAGCCCGACCCCCGAGCCTCGATAGGGCACATGTTTCCACTATGATTATAATAAAATCATTCTTCATTATTTCTTATTGCTTCTTTTCTTGCTTGCAATAAAATTCTAAACCACATTATTTAACCCTGTTTGAATGAACATAAGTGAGGTTAAAATCGTCTTAATAATCAATAAACCCGCATCATTTTTATGTGGAAATGTGCATGACAGCTTGGAGCACCTTTTCTTGGCATCAATAAGTGCCATCATGGATAAAAGAAATCCTAAAGATAATAAGCTCGGCAGGAAACCCAAAAAGGGGACTGCGCAAAAATAAGAGCAAAAGACCCGCTAGGAATCCCACAAAAGGGTGACCTAGGCAAAAATTAGGGTTACAAAATAATGAACAAAAACAAAAGCCCGCTAAGACATCACAAATGGGTGTTTTAGGCAAAAGTTAGGGCCGTAAAAAAAAAAAAAAAACAAAATAAATCCATGATGGTACCATCAATTGAATTCAACAAGGGGCTCAAGAAAAGCTATCCAAGTTGTCAAAGCACAATCATTAATAACAAAGATGTGCTTAACCTCATAAGTGTTTAATCGAACAAGCCTAAACACATAAGCCTACCATGGCCAGCCATTCTTACAAAAACCATTTTTCAAAAATAAAATAATCCCCTCTAAAACACAAACCTTTAAAAATATATCCTTTCCTTCTTTTCTCTCTTGTCCCAACGATTTTTGAATAATCTAGTGGAAACATGGAGATATAGTGGTCAATAGGAGGGTTGACACATCTTCTAAAGAAAGGGAAGAATCATTTGGTTGATGACACCAAAATCAAATATGCATCATTCCTCGGTAACAGAAATCGGCAGAGCACAGTCCGTCTGGAGGAATGGCAAAATCCAAACACAAAAACGCATCGGTTAATTCTTTTGAAAAAAGAATCAAATAGAATTAGGTGCATCATACTGCATACATGCATACAGATGATAGGTGTACTGGAAGATCACTTATTCTCTGTTTATTGAAAAAACAAAAAATATATAAACTTCAGAAAAACAATACGCCCGTATCATGTTCAGTATGCCCGTACCAAAATTAGGGTTATGAACAAATTTTCAATTCAATACGGGCATACTGAAATGAATAACGGCCGTATTGGCAATAACAGAAATCCTCCCTCACATCAATGACAAAATTCCTCCAAGAAGAAGAGGATAGGGGAAGCCATTCATTTTTTCCAAAAAATAAAATAAATTAAACTTGCATTTTGTGCATCGCGCACAATTAATTGCACATTCAAAGACCTCATCATGAGGCAATTGCATAAAATAGAAAAAATAGAAAAAATTGCTTGTGTATGACAGCAGTCTACAGAAAAAGCCAAAAAACGACAAAAAAGGCAAAGATTCAGAAAATCAACCGCATCATACAGAATAACTGAGCCTGGAGAGGCTTGCCGAAATAATACTCCCGCATCCTACAGAATAACTGAGCCTGGAGAGGCTTGCCGAAATAATACTCTCTCATAATAACTGAATTTAATTTCTTTAGCACTTTTAATTTCTGTACAGCAAAAGCCAAAAACAAAAAAAAGGCAAAATACAGAAAAAGCCAAAAAATAAAAAAGGCAAGGATACAGAAAATCCAACAATCAGTTCGCACAGAATAACTGAGCCTGGAGAGGCTTGCCGAAATAATACTCTTTCAGAATAATTGAGCCTGGAGAGGCTCGCCAAAATAATACTCCACATCACAGAATAATTGAGCCTGGAGAGGCTCGCAGAAATAATACTCCCCAGAGAAACCTCAACTCACGCTCTTGGACTCAAAATCCCCAGCAAGAGCTATCAAAGCAAGATCGACGACATTCCCAATGGAAGTACGATCACCCAAGCAGAATATCCAAGTCAAAGGACTTAAACTTCCTCAGTGAAGATAGCTCTCCAACTCAAGCGTTGAGTGAGGCTAAGCCTGTAGAGGCTTCCTAAATAATACTCTGGGATACATAAGATCCCCAAATCCCCAGTCGCCTACTCAAGAGGCATCCCTGCAGAAGGAGAAAAAAAAAAAAAAAAAAAAATCAATAATCATTCCCCAAGTGGAATCTGGCTCTCAGCCAATCATTGAACGTCAAGCTGATATGCCTAACAGAAGAGGCTAATCAAAATCAACGACAAAATCCCCCAGTGGATAACAGCCTACACAGAGGCAGCAAAATCAGAAAACCAAAAGAGTCACCCGAACAAGGATAACCGGGATACTCCACCAACGTCGAAAGGACGTCAGCCAATCATAAGGCACCGCTCACATCAGAAAGAGCATCTTTGTGTCTGCACCCCAAAGGAATCAGAAATTCCCCAGTGGGCACCAACTACGCAATGGAAAGTTGGGACACAAGAACCTATGAGTAACTGCACATCCCCTAGACGGATCCCTGCGTTATCCAGCCCTTAGTGGCACAAAATCAAAAAACAACCGTCGAAGCAGCATCGTGGACTGTGGAGACAAAATCATCACAAATCCCTGGAAAGGAGATATTCACGCTACCCCGTCGTCACAAACACGGAGGTATGCAGCTTCCGGCTCGGGCAATGAGCGAAGCTATCTCTGGAAAAGGGGTACTCACCGCTTACCGTTGTCACAAAGGTACTTAGCTTCCGGCTCAAACAAAGAGTGAAGCTAAGCCTGGAGAGACGGTACTTACAGCTTCCAGCTTGGGCAACAAGCAAAGCAAGGCCTGGAGAGGCAAAACTCACACTGCTCACCGTCGTCACAAAGGTGCTTAGTTTCCGGCTCGAACAAAGAGCGAGACTAAGCCTGGAGAGGCGAAACTCACACTGCTACCGTTGTCACAAGGGTACTTAGCTTCCGGCTCGAACAAAGAGTGAAGCTAAGCCTGGAGAGACGGTACTTACAGCTTCCAGCTTGGGCAACAAGCAAAGCAAGGCCTGGAGAGGCAAAACTCACACTGCTCACCGTCGTCACAAGGATACTTAGCTTCCGGCTCGAACAAAGAGTGAAGCTAAGCCTGGAGAGACGGTACTTACAGCTTCCAGCTTGGGCAACAAGCAAAGCAAGGCCTGGAGAGGCAAAACTCACACTGGTTACCGTTGTCACAAGGGTACTTAGCTTCCGGCTCGAACAAAGAGTGAAGCTAAGCCTGGAGAGACGGTACTTACAGCTTCCAGCTTGGGCAACAAGCAAAGCAAGGCCTGGAGAGGCAAAACTCACACTGCTCACCGTCGTCACAAAGGTGCTTAGTTTCCGGCTCGAACAAAGAGCGAGACTAAGCCTGGAGAGGCGAAACTCACACTGCTACCGTTGTCACAAGGGTACTTAGCTTCCGGCTCGAACAAAGAGTGAAGCTAAGCCTGGAGAGGCGGTACTCAACCATCAGCGTCATCAGAGGCGCGTTGATGTCCAACTTCCGGCTCGGGCGTCGAGTGAAGTTGACCTTGGAGAAGGTAAACTCAGCTACCGAGGATGTCAGAAGCGCCGAGGTATGCACCCACCTGGAGAGGCTACTCAACATTTTTCCACCGGAAGACGCTACAAGTCAGAAGGTCGGCACATTACCCGGACAATTGGGTCAACTCCTTTACTTGTCAGCCGATACACCAAAAGGCCGTCCGACTAAGTAAAGGGGGGGCAGCTGTAGACCCCTAAAATTGTCCGGGTCGGAAATAAAGCTTGAAGACTCTCGAAGACTGAAGGATAATCAGCCAGAAGGACTCCTCGAAGGCCCTAGGAGGGTTCTCTGTAGGTCTAGAGGTCTTAGAATAGCTCAAAATAAGGAAGTGGAGGGAAAAAGCCCAATACGGCCGTACTGAACTTAATACGGCCGTATTGAAGCTTCAATACGGCCGCAGCGAAACTCAATACGGCGTATTGAAGTTTCTGAAACTTCAATACGGCCGTACTGAAGTCAATACGACCGTATTGACACTTCAATACGGTCGTACTGAAGTCAATACGACCGTATTGACACTTCAATACAACCGCAGCGAACTCAATACGGGCGTATTGAAATTTCTGAATTTCAATACGACCGTATTGAACTTCAATACGACCGTATTGAAGTTCAAAAATTTCAATACGGCCGTATTGCTCCTGTAGGCCGTATTGCGCCTATTCCCTATAAATATGACGTCAATTGGACGTCATTCCACACTTTTACACTCAGTTTTGACTCCCTCCTTGAGTATTCTGGGGTTTTTGAGCAGTGTTCTGCCCTAGAAATCTCTCTGGGAGTCGATCCGACGAAGTTCTGGAATTCCGAGCACTTAGCTTGGAGATTCGAACCTAGTCGAAGGGAAATCCTCCGGATTTCCATAGTCAAAAGTTTTTAGGAAGGAGCGAGCGAGCTTGTAGAGCGAGGGAACGCCAAAAAGCTTCCCAGTTTTACTCAATATATAAAAGCACGCTTCAAGAGGTTTCTTCTTAAATCCTTCCTTTTACTGCTTTCTGTGTGCATATTTAAACTGTCATCATGTAGATAGTTAATTTATAATTGCTTAGAATAAATAGGGGTAATTTAGTAATTTTACGCTGTTATTTTAGAAATAATCTGTCATAGGGAACCCGAAAGGGGCGCTGTGGGGTGCTAACACCTTCCCCACGCGTAACCGACTCCCTTACCCAACTCTGGTTGTAATGGCCAAAGTTGATTTATAAAATCAATTGCCTTATCCCTTTTTCCAATGTTTTGAGTAAAACATTGGTGGCGACTCCACGAACCCTCCTTTTGCGAAAACCACTAATCCATGGAGGGTCCCGCTTGGGATTAATATGGATTGGTGAGACATTTAATAAATAAATTGGATAAGATCGACAAGGTCTCGGTTTGAGAACAAGTCGTTCTAATAATCCAATACATTTTCAAAACTAAAATAATAAGCGAGCTCGACCGCCTTCGCGACCGCCGAGGCCCGTTTGGGCCGGTGGCGACAATGATTCATACACTTAACCTCTCACTCAAGAAATAATTCTAATCCACTTATAAAAACTCTATATCTACCCAAAATGTAATTATACATGTCTTCAAGGAAAAACAGATACTTGTCGAAACTCGAAAAATTTTGATCTTGCCCACAGATGGTTTTGACTTCCATTTGAAAATCTCATCAGTTTAGGAATGCCCAAAAACCAGACTAATCCTTCACCAATGGTTTTTGAAAAGGTTCTTAGGAGTCGCCACCAAAATTTTACTCAAAACATCAGAAAAAGGAAAAGGTTTTCAAAATTCAATAATGGCCTTAATAGCCAAAATTAGGTTCGAGGGTCAGTTACGTGTAGGGTTAGACACCCTACAACGCCCTAACTCGGTACCCTATGATGAATTTAACGTAATAATGAACAATAATTAAATATTTACCCCTTATTATTAGTCATTTACATGTCTAATGTCTACATGATTACTGATTATTACACGACAATAATACTACATGTAAAACAATTAAATAAATAAGAAGAGAAAGAGAGAGAGAGAAAGAGAATTGATAGAAATATTTCCGAAGCAAGCTTTATAGAAGAAGAATCTCAAATCTTGTTACAATGGTGGGTTTTGGAAGCCTTTCAATCAACAAGAACCTCACAAACACTCAAGAAAGACTAAAGAGAGGGGAGAAAGAGTTTCTGCTTGGACTAGGTCAACTACGCAGTGTGTGTGGAAGCACTCAAAAATGCTTCAATAGGCTTCTAAGGACGTGGAACAGTCGTTCCCAGACTTGGAATGACCGTTCTAGCCCATGAATTTACACATGAAATGGGCCTTTGGAATGGTCTATTCCCAACTAGGATTATAAGCCATTTTTTTTCAATTGGGAACGGTTATTCTAGGTTTGGAAACGACCGTTCCAAGCCTAAAACTAGGGTTTTGAGGTTCTTAGGCCTTCTAGTGTTGTCCTGGTTCATTTAAGCATTCTATTGGGTCCTCGAGGGCCGCACATGTAATTCTAGCAATCTTTTGTCCTTAGTCTTGATAGCTCAAACGAAATCTGGTGTCTACATTTCTCTCACTAAAGGGATGTCATTTAGTTCACTTATATTCTCAAGTCTCAAGAAAAAAGGATTATATATACTTGAATATTTCAATTAGAGAAGTTTTAACTTGATTGACAATCATAACTTCACACTCTTACTCTCATCAAAGATATTATTTTATCAAGACAGACTAATAGGACACGGTTGAAATAAAACTAGTCTATATCAAAGATTATGTCTAGTTGGCTAAAAGGAAATAAATTAAATCAACTAGAAACTACTTTTCAAAAATTACAATAGGATACTTTAAACAGATGCTAGAAGTAGTTATGGACTATCAGTGGGATTCTCCACAACCAAATCCAATTTTAAGCAAGACAGACAAATTTAGCTTTTTAACATAGGCAAGAAAATAAAGGAATGGGTTGCACCAAAATCAAACAGAACAACAAAAGGTTGCTCAACTATGAAACATATACATTGTATTAAATTTTTAGACTGAGCAGCTTTAGCACCACTAAGAGAAACTACTCCTCCAATAGCCTTTGGATGCTTAAATTGAAAACTAGCTCTAACAAGTCGTGGTCATAGTAGCTATGAACACTACATACTAATATGACCCTTTTCCAAGGTACTTGAGACAAGTAACCTCCTTGTCAATACAATCCATGTGCTCGTGCTTGGTACACCCACTAGAAGGTGTAGAAATAGTTCTCCCAACACTGGTAGCTCTACTCACAACAAAAGATTCAACAATAGACTTACTTCGGCTTCCTCCAACTTGATTCCCTTAGAACTTAGCAGGTGAGGAGTATGCCTTACTCCTACTCGAACCTCCAAATCTACCTCTTTTAATCAGACCCACACTTTCGTAGTGTGCAGCACATGCCCGATTATCATGATCATATATCCTACACTTGTTCACTAATATTAGATAATGATAAATCTCTTGGTAGTTGATCATTGTCTTCACCTCAAGACGGAGACCATTCACAAACTTGATACACTTCACTCTTTCACCACCCTCACCATGGTAGTGAGAACATTAATGGACCAAGTCATCTAACTTGGTAACCTACTCAGCCACCATACTCTCTCCTTGCTTCAACTCTAGAAACTCTACCTCCTTCAAGCTTCGCACATCATTAAGGAAATACTTCTATAGAAAAACTCTTTTGAATTTATCCTAGTTAACGAGTATGCCTTCACCCATCATCCTTTGAAGAGCACCTTCCTACAAAAAATATGCATCAACGATTAACATAAATGTAACTAGATTCACCTTCTAAGTAGTAGGACACTCCATAGCCTTAAAAATTTTCTCTATATTAGTTAACTAGATCATTGCACCTTTTGGATCATATCCTCCCATTAAAGAGAAAGGATGGTTACGCAGAAATTGCTCCAACCAGATCTAGCTCTATCAATCCTTATAACATTCACTAATGCTTGAAGAAATTCATCCATAGCATGATCGTTCCTACCAGTCATAACACTGATACAAACCAATAAACAAATTAACTATTAACACAAGATATCACATCAATCATCATCAAAGTACACACAAAATACACAATTAAGACACATAACACATACATATCTAGTTTGAATCAATCAAGCTCTAATACCACTAAATGTGACACCTTCTATACCCTACATACCACAATACTTGAAATAACTAAAATTGAATCAATAAGTTTATCATAATGAAAGTTCATCATGTTCAACATAGAAAGTATCACATTTTAACAAAAAAAACCAACTCATATCCAAATGAAATCTAATACATTAAAATAGCCATTGTCCAAAACATAACTAAAGAGACATTAATTTTAAATAAGCCCCGATGTCACATCCTATCAAAGAATAAACCCAACTGCAAGGACTAGGCCTCACTGACAACATCCTCAATCTCATGATGTAAATCACCTACAAGAACATACAATAGAGACAAACACAAAATAAGGAGAATGAGAAACATCTCACTCTAACTCACGGTACAAAATATAGTCAAACAGCCAAACGCAAGCAAAAAGGCAAAAATATAAATCATAACAAACTATTAATAGAAATATATTGATACAACAAAATACAATTCAACTGATAATTACATAAATCATATAACCAATATTATTCATCACATAAGGTCACTTATATACATATACATATGATGTAATGGACACGGACTTCAAAGTGTATATGCATATGGTGGCATTCAAATCAAAGATCAATTGTCAACTATTGCCTAAAGACTCAATAGTTTCCAAAGGCCACCACTTGAAGGCTCACAACTTTCAACTATTTCCCAAAGGCCATCGTTAGAAGGCCATTGCCCGAAAGCTCACAATTGTCAGTTGTTGCCCGAAGGCCACTACTTGAAGGCTCAAAAGTATCAACTATTACTCGAAGGTCATCACCCAAAGGCTTATATCTATAAAATATTGGCCGAAGGCCATCTCCCTAAGGCTCATAACTATCAATTGTTTCCCAAAGGCCACTACCCAAAGGCTCACAACTATCAATTATTGTCCGAAGCCACTACCCAAAGGCTAACTCTCAGTTATGTGTGTGATGCATGTCA